ATTCAATTTCAAGTCTTAAATTCGTATATTTCTACATAGTAATTGCAAACTTTAAGTCATTTCATCGCTCTTTGACGTGACGTTACATTACAAAAAATGACGTTCCTATTGCCTTTTTCTATCAAAACACTGCCATATTGCAATATCTATTTTTCAAAAAGTATAATAGATATTGAAAAAAGGAAAACGGTAATGAATAGCAAAAATTCTATATTATCTATAATAAACATAACATTAATTTTTGAGAAGAGGCCGTTTTTGATGCTTCGTGGACTTAGCTCTTTCAGCAGTAAAGACATAAATAGTCGAAATGTTTAATGTTTTTATGTTTTATTTGAAAGAAAAGTCAATATTGAAAAGCAAGATCGATTGTAATGAAATTGACGATAATCAAAAGTTATGGGCAAGGTTAAAAATTTTGCGGACAAACAGAGAGAGCAAAAACCATATGCTCCCGAATCTTCGATTACGGGGGCATAATAAGTAATAATGGCGGGTTTTTAAAAGCCCATAGAAAGCGAGGTTAAACCGAGTCTTTTGTGGACTTGATGACCCGCAATGTTTCTGCGGACAGTCAGTAACAAACCTTATATGTTTTGTTTTGTCGGGGACCAAAAACGGTTAAAAAAAACCTATATACCGAGATCAATAATTACAAATAAATGCGATTTTCATTGTCTTTGCAAATCTCCTTTACTTTATCCGAAATATTTGACGTTTTCCTGGCTTTTTTTACGATTTGATATTTTACGCGCAAGGAACGTAAAATATCAAATCGTAAAAAAAAAAACGCCAGGAAAACGTCAGATATTTCGGACTACCTTTACTTGTAAGCTTGCTGTTTACTGATTACGTCACTGGAAAGGAGCCCTACTTTAAATTTAATCGGAACATGCCATTGGTGAGGACGTAATGAATTATCATTTCTTTTAAAACGCGGAAATGACACTGGTATAAATTGGATACGTTCTTTTATCCGCCATGCATGTTGCCCTTCAATTTTTGCTATTCACCGTCCACAGAAATATTGAAAGCAGGAACGTGACGTCGGTTACGCAAAGACAATTCTAGTCCGTGACAAAACAATGATTTTTTTTAGCCTAATTTACCTATAGTTTACATTTGATACTAAACCTAGTTTTGATATCAACTGTCAGGGTTAGAAACTCCCTAAAATTACAACTTGCAAATAATTGCGAGTACCAAGAAAGTGAACTCGCAATTTTATAAGACTACTCGCAATTTTCATATTAAATTGAATTTATATAAATTAAATACATGTAACCTAAGGAAAAAGTAACTACTGTACAATACACAAAATACAACTACAGTGTGACTTTTATTTAAATTACTGATTTAAATCAAAAGCATTGTGTTCTGTCATATTATATAATTTTGCAACAGTTTCAATGCAAAAAAATCAACTCGCAAGTTTTTGCGAGTTACCTAATTTTTAACTCGCAATTTGGGAATTCTAACTCGCGTTTTGCGAGTTGTATATAGTGAATTTCGAACCCTGACTGTGAAACTAAAGCTCGATTTTGTGACTGAATTTGGCATGTCATTGGTGAATAAAATATATCTTTACATGAACTAGATATCTATATACTTAACAATTGCTTTTTATTATATGATTGAATATCTGTGATTAATTGGCTGAGATCAGCACCCCGACCCCACCCCCACCCCCCTAGATCCGCGCATGCATGCCTACATATTTGATACAAATGTGTAGACAGTAAAATATGAAGACAACGGGGTCAAAGGCATCTCTTGGACCCTCTCCCCCATGGAACCAGGACAACTCGCCCCTAAGACAAGTTATCCCCGATGTAGATTAATATGTATTTGTGTTAATGCTTTATTTCGGTCTCAAAGCATTTTTAGTAAATTATTTTCATTTAATTTGAAACAGGAATTTTGGCTATTGGACTCGAGACTTCTCTCACTACAGTTGTTTAATTCTGTAATGTCTTCCTTTTACTAAAGCGTTCCCGTGGCATATTTTTACAATATACTCTTGCCCATATCTGAAAGTGGGGGGGGGGGGGGGCTACAATGTAGTGCCCCCGCTGCCCCCCCCCCCCCGTGACTACGCCTGTGTAAAGGGTATTTTATTTGAATTCTATGATTTTTTTAACCCTATGACCTTGACGTTGACTTAATTTTCTATAATTTTAACATTGCTGATGACTTTTGATTGAGAGTAGATATGGTATTTACATTTGACATGGGCATTACCTTTTTTCAAGACCTTTCCGTTTGTTTACTCTGGTTTTTGACCTCGTGACCGAGACCTTAAAGTTTAACCTACAGTCTTTTTTAAAAATTGATTTTACATTTGTAATAACTTTTGAATGAGAGGAGATAGGGCTTTCATATTTCTACATGTAGATTACCTATATCAACACCTTTCAGAAAAGTATACCATTTTTGACTTCAGGACCTTGACTAGAAGATTGACCTACTTATAATTTTTTTTTAACCTTGACCATAACTTTTATGCTCCATAAGAGACAGGGCTTTCGTATTTTCTTCACATGTGCATTACTTGTGACAAGACCTTTCGTATGTATTATGATATTTGACTTCATGACTTTAACCTGATCCCACCTCTGATGTCTTAAAGGTCCGTGTTTGCTCTGCTATGAAATAGTTTTGAGAAGCTATGATCTTTGCCATAGCTGTCATTAATTCACTAATTTATGTCTTTTTTTATATGAAGACAAGACACACAAACAAGACAGTTACAATATGTCATAAATAATGGCATCCCATCCACTAAGACACCGAAAGCGGGGGACCACAATTCTTTGAATTTGCTTGTTTTAAGTAGTTTAACACTTAATTAAGGTGAAATATCCCTCTGCTCCAAATTTCACCATTTTTTTTTTTTAAATTCCCAACACTGATTTTCATCAACAACAATAGCATTTAGATTCCAATGGAAAATAGTTTGAAGCATGAAGCGTTGCTTACTTTTTCAGAAATGAATATTATGTCTAATTATGACATGAAGAAAATTTGATATGGTGAATAGAAAGATAAATAATTTTTTTTTCCCAGCATAAAATTAAAAATATGAGGTATAAATGAAAATAATATTTACTATCATACCTATCTAATTCACATTAGAAAACATAATGAAGCGTTGCTTTAATTTTAAATCAGAATATCACATTGTTTTCTGTGCTTGTAAAATAAAATGCATCCATCTACAAGAGTTATCTTTCCATATACAGGAGTTATCGTTATTCAAAATATTTTTAGTGAAAAAATAATTAATTGATTAAAAACAAATTCTGCATCTGAAATTTCAATAACAATTAAAAGAATTATATGTAAAGAGATAGAAATATCTCAATTTTAACATTTAAAGGATCTGAGTATACATGTTTAAGGTAAACTATTATATAATAAGTAATTAATAAAAATATTGGCAATAGAAAATAGAAAGTTCTCATTATTTGTAGCATAATTCAGGTTCGCCTGAGTTGACTATACAATGGTCTTCATTATTAAACTCAGGTAAGAAAATTCATTGCATTGCTTGGAATAATTTCCTTTGAAAGTTATCTCTCTTATCAGAGGGATACTACACCTTAAGACAAGTGCTCTACACTCCAGTCTATTTGTAAAAACAAATAAAAGTCGTTTTAAATTTTTTTTTTTTTTTTTTTGCATTAAAAATATTTTGAAGCGGAATTAGCGCAACAAATATAACTGATCAGAATACATATATCATTATTTATTTTGATATACATAAAAAATACATCCAACACAGTAAATGTATAAATAATTCACAACAGCGAGTTGTTGCGGATTTTGAGGTTTGGACAAGTTCTCTCTCTGGGCCGACTTCATTTGTCACAGGTCGGCGTACGCCGAATTGCGCCGGTCATATGATCGGCGTAAAACGGCTAACCGGCTGGCAAATGAAGTAAACCGGCGAAAACAAAAAATAATTATACTATATAACAATCAATGAATTAAGATCTATCACTTTTTACGTTATGTCTTAGCGAAAAAAAGGTTGGATAATTAGAAATTCAATTTTTAAAAAAGTCATGGAATTGATGAAAAAAATTATTTGTAGAAAATAAGAACGGATTTTAAATACATGAATGGAGATTTGTTCAAGAAAAGTAAACAATTAAAGAATATGCCGAATTGGTAAAAAGTATCCTCATTTTATAAGGTGTTTTATCTTCCCGCCATATTTCTAAGACCGGCGAATTGCTCGCCGGTCATTTCAGACCGGCGAGATCGGCGTATGCCGTCGAACCTTCCCCGGTCAAATGAAGCAACAAGCCGGGTTACCAAAGATCAAGCGGCGCATTCGGCGTACGCCGGTTTAACAAATGAAGTCCCACCTCTCTCTCTCTCTCTCTCTTACACACACTCTCTCTCTCTCTTAAAAAAATGACCGGCGAGATCGGCGTATGCCGTCGAACCTTCCCCATTCAAATGAAGCAACAAGCCGGGTTACCAAAGATCAAGCGGCGCATTCGGCGTACGCCGGTTTAACAAATGAAGTCCCACCTCTCTCTCTCTCTCTCTCTCTCTCTTACACACACTCTCTCTCTCTCTTAAAAAAATACCGAGTCTGACATGTTACAGTTGCTGGATCGACCCTGTAGTGGTGAGTTGTCTTGTGGGTGACTCATATCCAATGTCTACAATATTTTCTTTTAAATAAAAAAAAAACAACAAAAAAAACAGATGCATGCCTAAACTTGCCTGTTTTATGATCTTTAATGAATTAAATATGCCCGGAAATAATTTTATGATTCAAACAGAATATTTCAGTTATGTGATTATTATTTTAGTATTAGTATCATTATTTTAAATAGTAACAGTGATTAAAAATGTATGTTAATTTTTGTTTAACATCGGTTTCATAAGAAGCAGTAATTCTTCTGCTTTCGCACACTTCCATTGCATTAATTTTATTTGTTTAATCTTTAAATATTGGCGCGAAATCTAACTCGTTTGTTCCGGAACTAGTAAAATTTTCGCATGAAATAGGCAGCACTTCCGGTAGAAGTGGCAGTACTCTGCAACTTTCTAGCACAAGCGATATTTGACAAAGATGGCAAGGAAAAACGGTATTCGATCAGGTATTGTTCATTTATTAAGTTTTCGTAGTATTACATACGGCAAGCTTGTGTTTTTCAGCTTGTAATGTTTGAGAAACTATCGTCTGTTTATTTTGTGTAACATCGGTTTTCATAACAAGCAATGATTCTTCTGCAACCTGGGAACATTTCCCACGAAGCTACGTCAAACAAACGTTTTATTTTCATTGTTTTGTCGTGTAAAATTTGTTGAAATTATAGTTATGACTGGCATACGTTGGTTCATAGGGGAAGAATTTATGTACATTGCAAAAAAGAGGGATGTATTAAAAACCGGTTTCATGTTGACATCAGTATATTTATGTAACGTAGATTAACAAAGTAATTTCATCAAGTGAAAGAGCTAGATGTCTGTTAAATGCATGTTCAGTTTACTGAATTCAGATTTAATCATGTCAATGCATCTCAAAAACTAAATATATGAACAACTACTTGTGGAATGTTGAGTCAAGAAGGTGTATTGTTTACTATCAGGTCAGCATAAATGAGTTGTATAACAGTGTGAACCAATATTTGCCTTTTTGACTCACAATGAATAAAGTAAGAAATTAAAGATGGGTAGGCTAGAAGTCAAGTCTGCATGTATCTGCTTATCGATAAAAAAAAAAATATGTAGAGAATTGATTAAATATTGTTGAATTAAATATTGAGTGAGCCATGTACTGTTGAAGAAAAATGCAAGAAATATTATTAAGAATCAAATCTGCAATTCAGTATATGAAATTACCAGTCTGTAACAAGAAAAATTGTGTGTTCTCAGAATTTAGTAATTCTTGAGGGCTGTAAATGCACATAGATGCACATGAAAAACTAAATTTTCAGTGTTGTCAAATGTGACTCTATTGCATGTGTTTGAAAGGGTGGGATTATTTGTATGCATTTGATATATATATATGTATATATATCATGAAAATTAGTGTCATACCCAAGGAAATTGTTATCATTGAGAGGTAAATGTGGAGAAATTGGAGTTAAATTTATTGAACAAGTTACCACTTTACCATATGACATGCACAGAATCAGTAAGCTTAAAACAATTGGATTTTTAAACAATCAATTAATGCACAGTTTTTCTGGAGCCCATGTGCATCAAACATTAATGTTAGATGTATTTATGTTCTGATTAAGTTGGTACTGCTGAATTTCCATGATTCTCAAACCCTTTTCTGGTACAGACTGGCCAGGGCTCCTGGCAGTTAAATTGGGAAGCAGAGAATACATGTTTTGGGAAAATTGTTATTCATATACTAGTACATGTATTTTGGGTTTCTGGTGTTTTGTTTTTAAATTTTTATCTGTTCTGCAATATACACAAACAGGAACATGAGTATTTAAGTTATCTATTCAAATTTAATATATGATCTTTAATTTTAGGGTGACAAATAAGAAAATTAATAAATTCAGTTGCGAAAGAAGGTACCATTTTTTTGCATTGGGAATGGGGCCTGATTTCATAATTTTTATATTGGATAAATCCTGATCTTAGATATATTTTTTTAAATGAGAGTGCAATATGAATTTTTCATAAATCCCAATTATTGGACCATTTATAGTAAGTAATTAAGGACTACATTATAATAGGACTGATTTTATTTTGCGCATCATGCCACATGTTTACATAAATACATCATAAATACATAAATTTCAGTATTGGATAATATAAAGATGTCAAAACACCACTAAAATGAACAGAATGCCATGTGCTTTATTACTAAAAGTTCTGAAGAATACAAGGAAATGTTATTTTTCTTCATATGACATATTTATAATATCAGTTTTGATTTTATAAGAGTTACTTAATGTATGAAGTTTTAAATTTATTTAAAAATAAATTAGAAATTAGTTTTTCTAATTAAAATGACCTTTGAAGCTTTTTTTTTTTTTTACTAATCTATTTATATGTACATGTATTTCTATATAGCAGCAGCAGATTCTGATAAGGAGGGTAGGGGGCTTAAAGTAAATTGTCAAATTCAAGATAAATCTTGGTTCCTTCTTTTAACAGTTCTAGTACATGATAAATTTATCAGATTGAGGTGTGTAAATAATAGGTTTCATTTCAAATATTTTAATATAATAGTATATAATGTAGGAACTTCTGGAGACTTGGCTTCTAGGCTTTTTTTCTACAGACTTTAAAATATTTTGGTAGTACATGTATTATAACCTAATTCTCATCTGTAATCAAGGGGACAGAAAATAGTAAATTTTTCTACTTTTAAAACACTAAAAGACTTCATTTTTATCTGGCAAACTAAAATCCAGGAGCTCCTGGAGCCCCCCCCCCCCCCCCCCCCCCCCCGCCAAGGCCTTGACCTGGACTCAGCTCAAGGTGGCTCCCAGACCTCCTGCCTATAATCAACTGGCATCTCTCACTTTAAATCCTAGATCTGTCCCAGTATAAATAGGAATTTAGTCGAAATATGAGCTCAGTAGTAGTTCCTCTACTGTAATAGCCTCATTTTCTACCCCACACTTTTATAATCCATAACATTCAATGATCAAGTACATGTAATAACTTTCTTAGTATTTTGAACCTATGAAGCTCTCTTAGCAAAAGTGAAACCATTGATCCCCCTCATGCTTTGATCCAAATCCTAATGCACAGGTATAAAAGTATGTACTACCTTTGCAATAGGTAAAGGTGTTTATGTCTCACACTTTCTTACACATAAATATTCTGTTACACTTCAAGCAAATTTGGATTAGGTGTGTTCTCTACAGTCTATCTGTCAAGCTGTCACTATTGTAAAGATCAGAAGGACTAAAATATTTCCCAGTTCAATAAAAAAAAAGGACCTGGTTTTGTATACTACCAAAATTCATAATTTAAATATTAAAAAAAATTAAGTGCTTGCTTGGATACTGATCTTAGATGACGTACAGAGTCCTGATAGATCAATATAAATGTCAAAGGAGCATTGTCATCATCGTGTTGAACAAACAGTTTGGCAGTTTGTATATGGGTATATGCAGAAGTGGTTTTAATATTGATTTTCAAACAGAATGACCTAGTTTTAATTAAGCATAACCTTTTTATCACCTTATCAAAAGTGCTCATGGGTAATTAAAGCAATAAATTTCGACTGCATTCCCTGTAACTTTCTGACATGGTAGCTATATATGCAGTGACATACTGATGTATGGCTAGTGTTAATTAGCTGAAGTTGGAAAGTATACTTGCACTGCATAAGAAATTTGAAATGAAACATTTATAAAAATTGTGCAATATACAGACAGAGGCTATTAACATTGGAAAAAAAAACTATTGACATTTTTTGAGAAATCAACATAATCCTTTTGTTTATATGAATTCTTGTAACAGTGGATGGCCACTAATGTATGACAAGACTTTGTACTAATAGTATTGAAGGCTTTGTGTGTAATGGCTTAGCTCTATACCACAGTGTTTTTTTGTTTTTTTGGTCACATTTATGTATACACATGTATGTAAGCCATTGCTAACAGCCCTAAAGAAATTATTTTTGAGAATTGATAAGAACCCAGATAATGATGCAAGAAAAAACTTGAAACTGTGCACTGGTACTTGTAAAAGTTTCGATATGTGTGAAACACTCGCAGTGCATAGTTTTTGTGAGAAATTAATTTGAAATTATGTATGTAACTTGAATTGGTTTGTAGAAACCTGCACTCTTGCCTGGTTGATAAGGATGTTTAATGCTGTTTCTGACAAACATCTTGCCTGCACATGTTTTTGTTTGCTGAGGGAAGAAATTGTTTATTTTGAATTTAAATGTGAAAGTTTAAAAAGTGGGTCTAATTGCAATTATTGATTATATTTTCTTGACGGTTAAAACAAAACAATTTTTTTGTATTTATGTATTACACAAATGAAGTGATTTTTTCAAATTTCATGTGTGATCATTTCAAGTTATCTTGGTATTTTACAAAGGACATGTAAAGTTCAAAAACTGTTAACAAATAAGTAGTTAAAAGTACAGCTGAAAATCTTATAGTACTCATTAACCATGTGTCAACAAATGCATGAATGCATTTGTTGAGTGGCTTTTTTCTTTGATAGTGGTATTGTGGTTGGTAAATACAGCAGTTGTTTACGTAAATCAGTAGAGGGGGGATTTCATACGTTTTGGTTCATGATTGGTTCAACTAAGACTTCCTGTATGTATTTATATATATAATTGGTTACTGATCTATGTTAGTGGAGAAAATTACATGAGTTCTTTGAGAATGCTTATGCACTGTACATTGTGCAATTAGCCCTGGAATAGAATCCAAGGTACTCCTTTAAAACTTGAAATAATTATGTCACATTATTGAGAACATCAAATCCTACAAAGCACCAGTGAAAGAAAATATTTCAAAATAGGTTGCTTGTACAGTGTATTATTGCAATATATTTATGAAATATACTGTGTTCATATGGTATTATGACTTAATTTTTTTTGACAACATTCACTTTAATTAAGGTTATTTATACGACTTGGATATATTTCATATCACTTTGAATTAGTTAAGTCTTTATTCAAACAAAAAAAATAATAATAATCATGTGCACACATCTTTATTTACAAATTGAGTCAGAATTTGTTTTATATTTCATTTTGACTATGGTCTCCTGAATGATGCTGTAGTGAATTAGAATTTAACAAGGCTGAGTCTAATTTGAGTGCGCATGACTTTGCGCAGCTAATTTCACTCAGTCATATATGCGACATTACACTTTTCCCAAATATTGTGATTTTAATACAAAATTAACATTATCTGTAATGCCTATGGATCTGAAAATGTGCTTTTACGACAATAATTAGGAAAAATGCTGAAATGGATCTAACGACGTCACTGTTTTCCGATTTTGTCAGCAATGCATGACGCTTAAGAATGACACATGACTTGCTTGTATATTCAAGACGTCCATGGATATTTTACTAAAAACTGTTGACAGAACATCAAAAGAAACATACTAGCAATCTAAACAATGCTATATTTTAACAAAGTAATTCATCTGCGCCGATAATTCATCTGCAACAATATATACATATACTGCAATATGGCAATTTTAGACGTATTGGGCCTTGAAAAAATAAACTTTATAATAATTCCTAAACCAACCTAGATGGTCAACTTTTTTTAAACTTCACAATTTGGTGGCTTTTTACAATAACTTTCATGTACTTAGCTGAAAAAGAAATCTCTAGGGTAGAAATACAAAAAATATGGAAAAAATGTGATAGGTGCTTTTCCAACAAATTCCCATAGGGTCCAATAGTAAAATTTGACAATTTTTGAGATGACCCTCTAAGAAATCAGGACGGTAAACATTCGATTTAACAGTAAAAATTAATTAAAGAAAATTTATCAAAATCTCTAGGGTAGAAATGATTAGACTCGGCCTAGTTAAAATTATCCTTATATAACATTGTAATCTCTTAATATAATGTGTGTGGGGGAAATGGCAAGTTCATATGGGATCTTCAGTCTTTAACATAATGGATGGTACTGTAATCATGATTTATTAATAAGATATTTAATTTACTGGCTCAGTAGTATTCCTGGAACCTTGAAAAACTCCTCTTTGAAAGCTTTTCATTGAGTATGCATGTGTTTGTAGACCAAAGACCTGATACAGTCCAAATCAATAAAGGGGATTTTTTTTTTTTAAATATAAGCTGCTTTTGAAAGCTAACCAGCATACTGCTTAAAGTTAAAATTTCATGTTGTTTTAGGATGTTGCAGTATTCTAGAAAATTGATTTTTCTTTAAAACAAAATTGTAGCCAGAACACATTGTAAAACCAACAGTTACAGATTAATTTTTATCCAAGTTTTATCACAACAATTTGTTTATAGATTGTCATAGGCTTAATATACAGCCATATGGTAGCATTTTTTACATGTTTATCAAAGTAAAAACTAGTTTCTATTTCAAAGTACTGATACATCAAGTGCATAATAGTAAATACATGTAGTACAGGAAAGTAATATGTTGCCTTGTTTTTTTTTTCAGAAAACTCGGGAACAATACACTTTGATACAAGAACTAAAGCGGTCATGGCAGAAGTTTCCCTAGCGCAAGAGAATATCAAGGAAAAGGTGGGAACAAACAAAATGGGGTGCCAGGATATAATTCATTTTTCTTAGTTCCCCTAAAACAATCGATCATCAAAGTATGACAGATAAAACACTGTTCTATTTTAAGTTTCCAAGATTTCATGTTTCAGTGATATGTAAAGGGTTGTTTCTGTGAATGCACAATTTTTATTGTCAAATCAATTTTCCCTCCAAAAAAAAAAAAAAAAGAAAAATAACCAAAATATTCAAATTTCTTATTTTTTGGTTAGAAATTTAAAATTTCTTTAACAAGGGGTCAAAATGCAATAATTACAATCCACAAATTATACTACATCTATGAGCTGGGTGTAATCACAGAAATGCAGTTCTTGTTGGATACACTATATAATGAGTCAAATTTTTTATTGAAAGTAAATTGTAAATGCCATGACAAAAAAAGATGTATAGGTGAAAAAGTAATATTTATAATTGTTTTACTCATAGGTGAATGCAGTACGAGAAGTTATCCTGGGGAAAAGCAACAATGAAATCATTTTAGTCTTGCAGTACTACGAGTATGATGTAGCTAAGGCCATCCAGGCTTATTGTGAAGGTAAGACAGAATTTTAGAACTTAAGGTTTAACATTCCAGAGTCATGTACATGTTGTCATAAAGGAGTAGGAGGGAGATCAATATACTAAAGTCAATACACTGTGTCACATGTTCTTCAATGCAGGAAAAGTGAAGAAAAAAATATGTGGGTAAATTCAGAACTAGACATTGATATTCTTAACAATTTTCTAATGTTTACAAGAAAAGGGTTGTTAGTCTGGTCAAGTTGACAAATAAAGAGGAAATGCACAAGTACTTTTAAGTGCACTGTCAAGTTTTGTCAGACCAGATACATGTACCTTATTTTGACACTGTGAAAGTCATATGAATAACAGCACCAAAATGCCCTGGATTATTTTCAACAGCCTTCAATCTTACAAGTTTCCTTCCTTGGGATAGAAAGTCTTTAATAAAAGACATAAATGACACGTTTTATGACTTTGCTATCACAAATTTAATTGGCTATCGTCAACACGCCATGTACGTGGCCATTTTTTTGTCTGTGTTTGTGACCTTCAGCTAAGCATCCCGATCCCGACCTGTATTAAATTTGCATCACGCTCGATTTTTTCAAACGGTCATTTGGACCGACGTTTTCTTAAAAGTTGTCAGTCCAGACAAATTTTTACCGGCCTTGCCGACAGGACTGACGGATTTCGACAAGTCTGCTCTCCACCGGCAAGTGGTGGCGTCTCCATATGAGTGAAAAATTCTGGAGAGGGACGTTAAACAATACACAAACAAAAAAAATGTTCATTAATTCCTGGGAGAGTTGTCTCTTTTATCAGAGGGTCAGTAAACCATAACATTTAAAGTATTCATTTATAATATTTTGTTATCACCAAATCACAGAACAGACAATGGTACAGGTAAACTTCGTTATCTCGACATCGACGGGACCATCGGAAAATGTCGAGATATCCGAGGTGTCGAGATATCAGAGTTGAGACTTGACGTCCAAGATGCATAGCAAAACAGAAGCTTATTATATGTACATGACTTCAATATAATAGACTGTAGCTCAACATATTTCAGAATTCCTTCTATTTTTATTAAAAATCTAAGAAGTTATTTTAAAAATCTTGCATATAAAACGTGTTCTTTATCGAAGTCTTTCTTAATTCACAAAGTTTCAGCACAAAGTTACAGCATTCGCGTGTAACTTCTAAACTTGCCTTTTTGTCAGAACAGGATACGAAATGCGCTCTATAAACTTCGAACCGTATAAAAGTCAACATCCGATATACGGAAAAAAATTAATGCGGATTATTTTTTCTTATTTCATTCAGGAAGAATGTACATTAAAATTAATTATTTAAAGAGATTTGTGTATTTAAACTAACGTAGTGATGTTACAGATGCATGAATTACTGCTGATTCGGTCAATTGTGTCGTTAGTTGGATTGTTTCCTGTTGAATACATTTTAACTACAAAATATCATTAAAACATCTTTTAATTCCTTCGTTTGAATTATTCAGTGTGTTTGTTATTCATTGAATTTTAGTTATCTTTTTCATATTTAAAAGTTATGTTAGGTTTCGATATATATAACCGTCTGTACATTTACGCAGAATCGTGTAGATTAAGCAATGATATTACCCAAGTTGAACATTAAGCAATTAACTTCCCAAAGTCGCCGAGGGGGCTTGGGATTCACCTACAAACAGAGTCTATAGAATTAATTAAGCAGTGTGCAGTCAAAACATGGGTGTGAAAGGTGTGAAATTTTGACGACGTCGAGATACCCGGAGTCGTCTGCGTGTGACGAGTGACCCTATCTGACAAACAGTTAGGTTCAGTAGAGCAGAAAATTGCCGATGTAGACATATACCAGGTAAATTTTACTCTTGGGACTGTGAATATACGTCGAGATAACCCGGGTTGTCGACATTACCGAGGTCGACATATCAGGGTTTTTGGAAATCATTTATATAGTAAATACTGCCGGGACCGCGGAAGGACGTCGACATATCCCAGGTTGTCGACATATCCGATGTCGAGATACCAAAGTTTACCTGTATATGGTTTGTTCCACTTGCTTAAACTGAAGTTCACATTCCATAGGTTTTCAGTTTGAAAACTCTGGACTTTTCATCCATTTCCAACTGATTTCTTTTTCTGATAAGTCAACTTCCCCAAAGAAGAGTTTATTAAATTAGGCAACTGAATAACTTGCTCCAAGAAATTTAAAGGATGAAATTTCTTGCAATTTGTATTCAAGATCAGCTAAGTCCATAAAACAATGTTATGCACTGTTTAATAATATGCCTTGATAACAACTATGGTAATAAATTGTCTTCAGCATGATTTAGACACTTTAATGCTGCATTATTATAAGTCAGAAAAACAACACCATTAGAAAAAGGATGTTAATAGAAATGCAGAAGAATATTTAATGTCACTAGTATCTGGAATAGACAAAAGGGGAAAAAATATTTTTTCTTACTTGTATAAGGATCTGTTAACAGTTAAACAACTCATTCAAGTGAAATTAGTCAACAACTTGTCCAAAGGACAGTTGACTTTCAGTTTTTGTTAGCAGCCTAATTACTGAATCTAAAATTTACAGTTCATTAACAAAGAATTCAAATGTTAAGAGTTCATTATACACATATGTACCGGTAGTAATCAACATACAAGTTTAAACAATCCAAGACACAAGTTAATAGTCATGTAATGCATCCTATATGTTTCAGAGATGGATTTTTAGCTCACCTGAGCTGAAAGCTCAAGTGAGCTTTTCTGATCACCGATTGTCGGTCATCCGTTCGTCTGTCCATCCGTCTGTCTCTGTCCGTCCATCCATCTGTAAATTTTTCACATTTTCAACTTCTTCTCAAGAACCACTTGGCCAATTTTAACCAAAATTGGCACAAAATATCCTTGGGTGAAGGGGAATTTAAATTATTAAAATGAAGGGCCAAGCCCCCTTACAAGGGGAGATAACCAAGAAAAGGCAAAAATGGGTGGGGTCATTAAAAAATCTTCTTCTCAAGAACCACTGGACCAGAAAAGTTGAAACTTATGTGGAAGCATCCTTGGGTAGTGTAAATTTTTAACTGTTAAAATCATAATTCCTGAGGGTAGGGTGGGGCCACAATAGGGAATCCAAGATTTACATTGAAATATATAGAAAAAATCTTTAAAAATCTTCTTCTCAAGAACCACTGGGCCAGAAAAGCTGAGACTTATGTGGAAGCATCTAGGGGTAGTGTAGGTTCTAAATTGTAAAAAACATGACCCCCAGGGGTGGGGCGGGGCCACAATAGGGAATCCAAGTTTTACATTGAAATATATAGAAAAAATCTTCTTCTCAAGAACTACTGGGCCAGAAAATCTGAAACTTATGTGGAAGCATCCTAGGGTAGTGTAGATTCTAAATTGTTAAAAACATGACCCCCGGGATAGGGTGGGGCCACAATAGGGAATCCAAGTTTTACATTGAAATATATTGAAAAAAAATCTTTAAAAATCTTCTCCTCAAGAACCACTTGGCCAGAAAGCTAAAACTTATATGGAAGCAACTTGGGGCAGTGTAGATGATTCTAAATTGTTAAAAACATGACCCCTGGGGTAGGGTGGGGCCACAATAGGGAATCCAAGTTTTATATTGAAATATATTGAAAAAAAAATCTTTAAAAATCTTCTTCTCAAGAACCACTGGGCCAGAAAAGCTGAACTTATATGGAAGCATCCTGGGGTAGTGTAGATTCTAAATTGTTCAAATCATGATCCCCAGGGGTAGGGCAGGGCCACAATAGGAAATCCAAGTTTTACATTGAAATATGTAGGAAAAATCTTCAAAAATCTTCTTCTCAAGAGCCACTGGGCCAGAAAGCTGAAACTTATGTGGAAGCATCCTAGGGTAGTGTAGATTCTAAATTGTTAAAAACATGACCCCCGGGATAGGGTGGGGCCACAATAGGGAATCCAAGTTTTACATTGAAATATATTGAAAAAAAATCTTTAAAAATCTTCTCCTCAAGAACCACTTGGCCAGAAAGCTAAAACTTATATGGAAGCAACTTGGGGCAGTGTAGATGATTCTAAATTGTTAAAAACATGACCCCTGGGGTAGGGTGGGGCCACAATAGGGAATCCAAGTTTTATATTGAAATATATTGAAAAAAAATCTTTAAAAATCTTCTTCTCAAGAACCACTGGGCCAGAAAAGCTGAACTTATATGGAAGCATCCTGGGGTAGTGTAGATTCTAAATTGTTCAAATCATGATCCCCAGGGGTAGGGCAGGGCCACAATAGGAAATCCAAGTTTTACATTGAAATATGTAGGAAAAATCTTCAAAAATCTTCTTCTCAAGAGCCACTGGGCCAGAAAGCTGAAACTTATGTGGAAGTATCGTAGGGTAGTGTAGATTCTAAATTTAAAATTATGACCCCAGGGATAGGATGGGACCACAATAGGTGTAATACATGGGGGAAAGTCTAGTGAAGAACAGCAGGACTAAAGTTACTCAGGTGAGCATTGTGGCCCATGGGCCTCTTGTTAAGTAATATATCAGAACTAAAAAGATCAAAGGAGCTTTATTTAATGCTTACATATTATTGTGGTACTCATCATGTCAATAGGAAATTCTAAGAAGAATATCCTTGAGAATTCTTTAACAGCTTTACTTTCCTACCATATTTTGTGCAGTACTATTGATTTTATAATTTAGACGTTTTCAGGTTATGTAATTGAGCTTGAATCAATTTTTGAGAATTTGTGCAAAGGTAATTTGTAGCTATTGGTTTACTTTTCAAGGCAAGATTATGTAATATAGCTTGTAATATATGTAATGAATGAGAAAAAAGTGAATGGTAGCATGTACTTCAATTTAATAAGAAGAATGACAAACACTGTTCATTGTTAAGATGTTAGTAGATTTTAATAAATGTATTTTACTTGTTTTACAGATGGAGCTCAGAAAGCCCTACAAGAATGGCATTGGTCTGGAAATAAGGTACTGTCAGAGGTGTTACTCGTGAATCCTGCTTTGCTTTAAGTCTGTTATGTAAATTATGTGCTATTATATCTAGTTTACTCATAAAAGTGATTAGTATTTAAACTTTTTGATACTTTTTTGGGGGGATAAACTATAAAGTTTAGACACGAAAGTTTCTTACAAAGACATATAAATAATGTACGTAGTTTAAGGCTTTCATTTAATTTTTTTTATTAAATGTCGTAATGAACCAGTATATTTTGCTTGTGTCACACTGGTATAAGTAAAGCTTATAATGGTAACATTACTAACATATGCAAATTAGGAGTTACTTTGAGCAAGCTTATGAGAGCAAAGTACAGTGAAACCTGTCTTATCCGACATGCTGCGGGAAATAAAATCAATGTCGGATTAGACAGTGTGTCTGATTACCCAGTATTGAATATTTCTGAGCATTATGATTTGTGTCAGATGACTTCATGCAAAAAAAAAATATATATATATATGTGTGTGTATATATATTCATTAGGATTAGAGTAAGTGTGTATTTAACTGTCAAAATGTTTGCATAATTGTGTGTTTCTTTGTTGAATAAAATATACCTTCGGCTGATTGGGAATTATTCGAGAAAGGGTGTTTGTGATAGCATTAGTAAACTGTAGTTATACAATGATTTTTTTTTAATGAACAAAACAGATGGAACTGCCGATCGCTTTGAGATGTAGCAATTTAATTTTTAGCATTTTACTTTCTGAAAGTAGATATTTAAGTAGATATTTCTTCTACCTTCTCTTCACAGTGGTGCAGTAAAACTTGTTTAGTACGAACACGGATATAGTGAATTCACGGATATAGCGAATTTTTCTTGAATCCCCAGCTATATAAACTTAATGAATTTCTTTTTCGGATATAATGAATTACGGATATAGCAAAGTAATTTCACAGGACCCAGTGACTTCTTATAACAGAGTTTTACTGTATTATTATTTTTTCTACAGTACATTTCTCTCCAATTTTTCTCCATTGTTTACTTTTAGTCATAGAGTGTGCTATTAATACCATCACGTGACTTTTCATACAAACGGGACGTTGTTCTCTAAAACATTGCAATTGCGGTTGAATTTTAATCAAACATGCGTAATATTTTAAAATTTAATGGGAATTTTAAAGCAGTCATTTTTGCTTCCGGCAAATCTTTTATGTGCACAGCCTCGCTTTTTTCAGTGTATATTAACCCGGAAATGCTGCCTTTAAATTATATATTGTCTACATGTAACACAGAATTTTGCTGTACTCATTTTTTTTTTTTTTTTTGCGGCATGGCCTTATAAACTCGTAATTAACTACTCTCTAAGTAGACCAATCTTGCGACCAAACGGGACTTTAATGTTACCTGGCCAGCGGCTAATTACGGTACACCTGTTTAATTATGTCAAATTACCCAGGTGAAATCATAAATGTAATTATCTAGTTTGATGACAAAAAAAGCGCCAGAATTCGGAATGTACAGCGGTCGGAATATAGTGTTTTATTCTATATTAATTATAAAGAAGTTTTTGGGAATAAGATATGAGGTTGGAAAGTCCAGTGTGCTGGATTGCACAGTTGTCGGATTGGACAGTGGGCACTGTACATTGTAACAAGAATGTTGGAGATAGGTAATCTTATTTAACGTAAAACTAGTGTATGGTCTATGCAATGCATTGTTTGTGTAGTTGAAAGAGATGTTAGACAAAAAAAGAAACCAAGAGAAGTGATGACGCTTGTGTCAAGTTTTTGTTGATCTAATGCTACTTATATATATATATATATATATATATATATATATATATATATATATATATATATATATATATATATATATATACATTTTGACATTTCTTGATTCAGACACCAAACAAGAAGAAGAAAAACAAAAAGAAGGCTTCATCCAAAGCTGCTGGTGAGGAGGGGGAGTTACAGTCCCCCAAGAAAGAGGCCTCCTCACCACCCCTATCTAACGGTATACCAGTCAAAGATGGTATACCGAATGGAATCATAGTAAATGGTGAGATAACTCAGCAGCCTTATAAATTCAGCAGTTTTACATCTGAAATTCAAGTCTAATTTTAAAATAGCAGGGATTTATCAGTACCTTCTCAGGGGCCGAAATTCGGCCCCATTCCCAATTGAAAATGAGCTCAGTTTTTCCCAGTTTGGTTGTATTTTTTCCCAGTTGGTGAACAATGCTTTTATATTTAATTTTCTTGTAAAAACACAGATTAAAATTGTCAGATTGTCTGTAATTTTCATCTATTTAACTCATTTAGCAAAGCTACAGTCATAACACGTTTAACAACACTGTAAAAACATCGCCAACTTTTAATCCGAATTTCTTCCGTTTTTCTGAAAATGGTGATATTGTGTAATTGTATAGATTTACTAAGTTATTTCCACCTACTCAAATGATCTGCGAATGAATGGTAAGAACTGTAGGCATTATTTCAGATAGAAAAATATATTTTCAATGTTTTAATACATATTAAAAGAGGATTTTGAGAAAATGTGTACTTTAGTATAATTTTTTTTGCAGGAGGTTTATATTTTCCAGAAACAGATTCTATAATGACCTAAATTGAAATCTCATACACACATGTACTACCCTAAGTTGTATAAATACTTTATACTCATTTAAGTAAATTTTACTTTATTAGTCTAGTATTCATAATTGATCTTGTATGATGAAGTTGGATCATATTTAATTGTTTGTTTATGGTTGCCCGAATTAGAGTTCATGCTGAAGTGTTAAATGAATTACACTTGAATACATGATTTAAGCAACATTTTTAATTTTTCCCAATTTCACCAAATAGCCAATAATTTTTTCCCAATTCCCCAAAAATGGTGTTTCCCAAAATAGGCTGATAAATCCCTGAATAGCTTAAAATTTTAAATTGGGGTCTTTAAATTACTGTATTGTTGATAAATATTTTCCATTGATATAAAAAGTTTAATAGTTGTAATTACTAGTTAATTTATTTAGATTCAGATGATTGTATGCATGTATACTGTGCAGATCAAAATATTTTGAGATAAAGGGATTAATTAAATTGACCTAATTTCACAATGAGATCCCATTTATGTGGTTAATTTTCCTCATTTTAAGTACATTGCATGCACATCATTTACTTTTCCTCTTATTGGCATTTCCTGATTCCTTGTAATTAAGTGGAAATTGTTTATAATGTGTAAAAATTTCAAATTAATGCCAGTTCAGTTATTTTTTGTCCAAACTTGTAGTTTCCTTTGATTTACTTTTTATGTCAAGGTATTTATTTCAAGTTATGTAAGGCCACCATTTGTAAACATTCTCAAATGTGTCCGATTAAACTAAATAACATCCCTAAAGACATTATTTGTTTAACTATTTAACTTTTTTGTTTGAATAAGGATTTATAAATTACATATCATATCATTGACTTTCTTTTAACAAAACAGAATCCATAAACTTAGATAATACAGACACAGAGCCAACAGGAGGGGGGCAGGCATTTATAGAAGGTGAAAAGGAAGCTAGAGGGACATCTCCAAATGTTAACAACAATGCACCATCCTCTAATTCATCCCCATTGAAACAGCAATCACCCCAGCCTCAAAGGCAGCAACCCTCATCTCGAAACTCCCCTACAGCATCATCGTCACAACCCCAGAGGGCAGGGTCAACGCCTCAGCCACAGAGGCAACCCCACAGCCATCTTCACAATAGACAACGAACTCACTCTGGTAAGGAAAGAGTCCTTTTTAGCTTAAAATTTATCAGAATTAATTGATTAGATTATTTTGTTTGTGCAACATTGTAGTTTGATGATTTATTGTATTTTATTTACAGTACATAAGGGTTATTCCAGTAAAAATTATCTGGGAGGGGGGCATCTCTGGTCAACCTCCCCCTCCCCCCCCCCCAACAGAAAAAATCATATGTGCAATATTATAGGTCTGATATGAGTAACTGATTAGCAGTACAAAATTATTTTGCTTCATGAAGTAATCCTCCTTCCTTTCCATGGTACACTGAATGTGAATCTCTTACTTTAGTAGAACAAAAAATGTTGGAAGAGGGAGTGCAGTCTAAGGGAATTTTGGTTGCTATAAGAAAGTCTCTAACATCTTTCTTTACAAGAAAGAAAAAATCCTTTGTTAGACAACTTAGGAATGAAGTAATAGATTTAGTACAGAAGAGTAGGAAAGAATTCAAAATCAAACTTGTTTCTCAACTGATTGCTAAATCCATTGTGTTATTATTTCTGACTTATGAAACAGAGACATGAATAACATTAACTGAATAAAAATGATATAGATACAGCAAGTTTGGCTCAAATTTTTTCTGGTTACAATTAAACAAAGTCATTCAATTTCATTATACCATTTATCAGTTGGTTGTTAATTGCCATAACTTCCAACACACAGTAATCACTTAAGAAGGGTATTAGGTCAACTAAACCCACTCTCCTTAGAAGTTCTTGTCCAAGTGAAAACTTTTATGCAGCTTTAGGGAAGACAATTCTTACACTTCTGGGGTAACTTTTGCAGAATGGAAATAATTTTTTTTTTCTGTTTATACAACTAGTCCCACGGACTATTGGAGGGTGATAATTAACTAGTCCATCTCATAACTTAAGGATCCAGGCTTCAGACCTCCATATTTTTAAACCCCTGCTTCTTGCGTTGAATTACTTAAGTAAATGGTTGCCAGTCTCATATTTGTAATACATATCTGATCAGAAACATATTAATGTGCAGTGATACAGTTTGGTGAATTAAGGATATTAAATTGACCATCTAATGAAAGAGATTTATAACTCTCGCTGGGATAAATATTATTCCTTTAAATTTACAAGTCGAAAGGCAATTTCTGCCAAATTTTGTCCTGCATGGTATTCTGAAAATGTGTTCATCTTAATTATAAGTTCAATTTTCTTTTGATAAATCATTAGCATTAATGCAAAATATTATGAGCGAACACAGGATGAAGCTTTTTATAACATGTTAGACCCTCATATATCCAGTGCTTTCTCTTACATATTCCAGGTTCACATTCCCACAGACAAAGGACTGCCAGCACAACTTCTCAACCCGAACATAAACCAACACACTATAAAGCACATCATGGTAATTTACAATCTTGAAATCAGCTGTTCATCCTTAACTGTTTCACGTTTGAAATTCAACTGTCTGTTGTGAATTAAATCATGTTTCCAGTCCAAAATATTAATAATAAACATATACATGTATATGTAGTATGATTAAATATATGTGCATTTACTACATTAATTTGCTGAAATTATAAAGTGCCCAGGTTCAGTTGTATTTGTTGTACCAAGTAATTGTATCTAATATGAAACTGATTTGATTTGTTTTTAGGATTAGAAAAGTCGGTGAAAGACTTGCATAGACAAACTGTTGCATTAGAGAGATTCCGTATGGTTTTAAATGAAGAAGTAGATAAAACCTACAAAAGAATCAAATCTGTATTTGATGAAATGAGAACAAGGTGAGATTACATTCATGATTGTCACTTCTATGGAAGCTGCATATAGCAAATAAATATTAAACTGATATATGTAAATCCTAATAATACACATTAACAAAATAGTATATGTAAATACTTTACTAGTATAGTATTCTAAATTTGTTTTTCTGTAGCTTAAACAACAGGGAAACGGAACTCACTTCTGAGATGGATAAAGTAAAATTGGCAGCAAGTAAGTAGTGTTAGTGATGGACATTAATCCATTCATTGGCCATCAGTGATTTGAAAATTTAGTCTTAAAAAAGTAAATGCATGTGTCAATCAAAAAATATAGCAAACCTGATGTCTGAGGGAAAGATCTGTCCCGAGGTATTTAGAACAGAAATCACATTTAATTCATTTTTTCAATGTCAGAAATATGGAGTAAGAATGTAAATAGATATATTTACTTCAGACGACATATTTGCAATGAGACAGAAAAGAGCAGTAGAACTGAAAATGAAAGTAGACAGGTCAGACAACATGAATGAACAAGAATTATCTGAACTTCGCTCAGAAATAAAGGTTCGTATAAAATCTAATGACTATATTTCTTTAAAATTTCTATAAAATTGGATATCTTTTAATTAGAAATGTGCAATAGGGCCATCCTTAAAAAAAATGTTTGTTTAGAATTGCCACATGGGGGGTTTCAGACCCAGTGGGAGGGAGGGAATTCTTTTTTTTTTCCAAAATTGAAGGTAAATTAAGTACTGTTGATAAAAATCTCAATAAGCAGTGAATACACTACAGTACAGGTAACTCTCGATACCTCGAAGTCCGCGGGACCAAGGAAAAACTTCGAGAGATCAAGAGTTCGAGTTTTCAAGAGTCCGGAATTTTCCGGGTTTGTTGACAGGTTTTAAAATTAGTCTTACCGGATGTAATGATTTTCATGCAGTGCTAACCTTTTACACCTGGTTTTCATAAAATAACGATATTTTTCCGTAATTCAGATGAATATTTCATTAAACTGAGTAAAGCAAAAAATGTATATCGTCATTTCATGTATATTTATTTATTCTTCGTAATACGGACATATGGCATACTATGCATTCGTTACATGAAAACGGCATTTTACAGCGTCGTACATAGCTTTGACTATTCCAAAAATGATCATTGAACGCAGTTCTGCAAGTATTTGTCGAATAATAGTCGTCATATTGACATTGAGACTGTTTCTGCTTTTTTTATATTTCGTTTAACTTTGACATTGTCTCGAAATAAAAATTAAATTAGTGTTTTGTCTTTTAATCAATTACTACTTTTCAATGACACTGCGTCTCTAAATTATCGTAAGACAGTCGATGATAATTATTTTAATAGCATATAGGCAAAATATGATTAATTATAAATCAGTTATCACCTTGCAGCATAAGTGTACCTGAATTTAAACATCCCGTTCCTCGAGACCCGCGTCTTCTGCCTGGGGCCATTTAAATGTCCAGGTAAAGGTGCTAATTACATAATCTTGTATACACATAGCCACTTCGAGGTATCGAGGGTAAATTCTAATAGAATATGCATAGCCAGACTGCATTTTGACTTCGAGGGATCAAGGGTTTCGAGAGATCAAGAGTTCGAGAAATCAAGAGTAAATTTGCTTATATAGTGGAAAAATTCGGGACCGGAGACTCACTTCGAGCGATCAAGAACTTCGAGAGATCGAAGTTCGAGCCATCAAGAGTTACATGTATTTATTATTTTTTATAAAAGTATCTCTCATGAACAAAGAACCCAGTTTTTGCTTAGGTCTGACACTAATTAAGTATTTGGATGGAACAAGTATTAACAGAATCAATTGAATAAACAGAAATCTTATTTTTGGTCAGTAAAAGTTTTCCAGGAGGGGTCATTTCAATGAGGCTGGAGGCAATTCCAAACAAACAATAATTTTATTCTGGCCTAGCAGGAAAGTGTACATTTTTTATATTTCAGCATTTCATAAGTGAAAGGAAGATAGATGAGGATTTAAGTAGGACAACTAGGTTCTTATATGACTCCGATCACCTGAAGGAGGTAAGGTTCACAGTTTTAAACATGATTGTACTTTAGATAACTTTTCTCTGTCAACAGATTTCCTTCTTCTGGAGTAAAATTATATTCTTTGAGATCTTTAATTGCAGCAGTGTCTTTGATGCATTGTCATACTTTTGGAAACATGTTTTGTCTTGGTTGGTCTGAATTTGCCCTTTGCCAGTATAAAATATGTCAAGTCTACTGGGTAGTGCCTTGGAAACATTTTCCTGAGGACTGCTTTAACATAATATTTTTCTTGTTGTAGGAAATATGTCAATTTGCTGAGGGTGAGTACTAATCAGTAGGCAATAGAGACCTTTATTTTCTTTGTCTATATTATTTCAGAATTTAAACAATTTTATAAAACTCTGAATTTTTTTCATTAAAAAATATTAATATCAGTAAAAGGCAATCATGTCTGACAGTTTAATTTATTTATGTCATAATTTCTAGACTGTGTCAAATATGTGTGCTTAGCATTTTATGAAGTCCTTTTGAAACTTTTGCAGTTGTACCGGTCAAATGTTCTTATTCTGCCAGACGTCCATCAATGAGTTCAGTAGCCAGTAGTGGACCAGAGGAAATGGACAGTCTAGCTTCTTCTCTCAATAGTCCAGCACCAGTTGTTGTAGGTCAGTACCCGAAAAGAACCGACAGTGGAAAGTTCTAAAATCAATAAATTTATTATAAAACAGTAACACCATCCTCTCCAAATCTATATTTCCTCATTTATTTCTAGAGGAAGTTTATTACCAGTTTTACTCATAAAATTTAGCTCTACTTCCTTACACATGATCAGTATTTTCGGAATTTAGAAAATCCTCATCAGGGCTTCACAGTCAAGCTTAGTTGCAATAATGTAGCCCTCTCCGATTTTTTTTAATCTGATGTTTTCAGGAGAGGGCTACAATTCCACTGCATCTCCGTAATGGTGCAAATATATTTTTTAGATACGGGCGACTGCAGGCAAAATAAATTGTTTTTGTATTCAACTTACTTCCAATAAGACGGAATTTTTATTCACTATCAACATCATAGCCCTTTATACGTGAAAACCGAGTAAAATAAATCTGTGTGTTTACCAGTTGTTCTCCTCAGCAGCCATGACAGTTCTCGCATGATGTACTGAGACTTGCGCTTGAAATTTAAAATCACATGATAAAGTAAATGTCGGTGTTGATAAATGTTTGTGTTGTATGGTATCACTAAACATCGATAAAAAAAGCATTCCATGGGATATTTTTTCATTAACAGTGTTATTTATGCTTAAATTAAGGGAAATCCTAAACGATCCGCTCCCCTAGATCCCGAATTCTCATTGGTTGTCCCAAAATAAAATCGATCAAGGTCAGTAAACATGGTGGAGAAATTCAAGTTGTGAAGTTGACATACACGAAAAATAACTGATATATGGATTGTTCTGTATATTTTTGGATCAATTCATGTCTTGCATAACTACATTTTATGAGTTCAGATAAGATATGTTAATAAAATACCCACTTTCTGATAATTTGAGCTGAAATCTGTGCGGTAGTGAATCACTCCCGCACTTGCACCATTACGTAGATCCTAAGGAGGAGTACATGTAGCCCTCTCCCAAAAAAAAAAAAAAAAAAAAAAATCGGAGAGGGCTACATTATTGCAGCTAAGTCAAGCTTTATAAAAATTGCCAAGTTTGGGTAGAAAATGGTAAACTGGAGGATATGTGATTAGTTGCAAACTATTTATATTTAATGTCTATGTAAATAATTTTATTTAAAAATTCAGTGGCTTGTATCTTTCTCTTTGTAGACATTTTTTTTAATCAAGAACAAAAAAGATTGAACTATACCAAGTTTATTGTGTTAGACAACTGGGGTTTTTGAAGCAGACTTCAAATTGATTGACATTGTATCTAATTATACAAACCAATGAAAATTGTCATTGATGTTGTAGATATTAAATGAGGACCAATCTTACACAAATGCCCAGACTGCTAGTTGTAGATTTTCACAACATTAATGTAAAACCACAATAAATAGACAAAGTGTTCAAAGGGGAATGTATGGCATTGTTACCAGCTAGAATTTGTTCATCTTAACTATATAATTACATGTATTTCTTTTTGGTGCTCTTTTGATAGTTGCATGGACAATTTAGAGGGTATTATACTGATCGGCTAGATAGAAGGTTTAAGATGAATCAAAATGGGAGGTTGGTTATATCCTTTATGTAGGGATGTTCACAAATGGGTCAAATGATCTAAAAAAAAATTAATTAGAGTGACCTTACAATCACTTGTCTTCTTTTATATTGATAAATGTACTTTTTGCAGATTCAGGACATGAACTTGAACATGACTCTCTAGGTGCCAGTGAAGCACATGAAATGGCAGAACTTCAAAGGAGGCTGAAAGGTTCATTACAAATGCAGGTGTGAATTGTACCATTATTTTACAGGCTTTTTACCTGAAATATTTCATACTAAGATTTTTTTTTTAAAATACATTGTATATTATTAAAAAATAAACATCAAAACTATTAATTCAAAAGTAATATAAATGTACATCATAATTTCTTCTTATTCACATAGCTATTTTTTATTTTCTAGGGGTACATGAAGTCAGAGGAAGAAAATGACCAAGCCCATTCACCCACAAAGTCTAGTCCAGTGTCCAGTAGCAATCATATTAACTGTAAGTCGGAAACAAGAATTTAGTGAGATTAAAAATTGAAAATCTTTTCTAGCCAAATATTTTTTTTATGAACAGTCTTTTGGCAGGCTTTATTATGGTATGGACTTTCACACTTGTCCATCCATCTTTCAATCCATAACTTTTTTTCATGTTCAAAACATCTTTTACATTTTGAGACCTAAGACCATCAAACCTTTTCAGCTGATGCATCTTGGGAGGGGGAGGGGCCATGACCCAAAAAACATTACCTCTTTCAGAATAATTTGGCTATTATATAACTATACATAGTCATATTATGTCTGGATCATATCATGTTGAGCATGAAACCTAAAGTCATCAAACCTTGACCCAAAAGTAGGTCACTATGACTAAGCTATCTATAGTCGTATCTAGGTCAAATCTTGTGCACTTCGAAACCTAGGAGCATCCAACCTTGTGCCATATCGGGGGAGAGGCATGTGACCCAAAAGTAGGTCACTTTGTCCTCCTTTTGGCATAATATAGCTATGTATACATTAAGAAAACTTTGGTATGTTACAGTAGCTTCCAACATAGATGCAAATGACAGGTATATGGCTCATGACATTTCAAGATGAGCATATCATACTCTTAGTGGTGCACTTCATTGTGTTTAATTTTGTTTTTTAGATGAATTAGGAAGTAGTGCATCACTAAAAACTACCAGTGAAGACAATGCTGACATGCAACCCAAACCCAGTGAAACAAGTGAGAAATCATCTCAAAATGGAGCTGTGAAGTCTAGTTCAGAGTCAGAAGCAATTAGGAGATCTCAGTACTCAGGTAGGGGCAGAGGTAGGGGAGGCAACTACAGGGGCCGTCCCAGAAAAGATGGCAGTGACTCTTACTATAGGAACCAGGGAGGCTATGAAAGGGGAGGTTACAGGAGGAGAGTGGAGTACTATAACTCCAGACGAGATAATGACAGGAGGAATTACAGGCCAAAGGATGAACATCCAAAAAGTGCCACCCAGAGAGGCGAGAGACAGAGTAATCCTCGTTACGAGAGGCCAAATACGACTAGAGAGAATGTACGGCCCAAAACTCCTACAGAAAATGTAAAGGAACCTACTGGTAGAAAGGATTTAAACAATGTACCTCAGGAATGAATTTAATTTTCAAGTTTTCTCTTTGTGTTTTGGGGGGGTTATTCTAGTCTCATTGTTACATCCTTTTTAGCTCAAGTGATCCTGTATTACACATTGAAATATTATCTTCTTAAACTGTAAAGAAATGGGGCTCTTCAAAGTTATGTCTGTTAGGAGACTCTAAATGTTACTTCTAACATAAAGATAAAAAAGAAAATTCATCATTCTTTATTCCATCAGAGCAGTTTGTGGACCCCAAATATAACTACGTGTATTATATTATCCTTTTTGAATGTTGATATAAATTTTTATTTGTAATTCAGTGAATTCATTTTGGATAATGTAAGGAATGCTTTGTGAATGTCAGGTAATTGTAATTGCTATTACGCATAAAATGAATTTTTTTGTTTCTGTTTGCAAATGAAAATTGTTTACATAAATATATGTATTGAATTTGTGATAAAACCCTGTTACTTAATGTTTTGAATTTCACCTCAGCCATATTGATACATGTATATTGTCAATGTGTGAAATATTCATCATTTGCTTTTATCAATGTCATTAATGGGTGATTACGTATTAATTGCACTTGTTATACAGCAGTATTGGAATTTTGCTTTTAGTGCTAGAAGAATAAGATACATGTACTATTGATTTCATTAAAAATCAATGACTACTTGTTTTATGATAGTTAACTTTAACCCTTTACCCAATGTAAACCTTATCTTGATAAATCCTTCAAATGAATATGTTTTTCTTTGGGGGAGAAAATAGTGCATTCTGTCAAATTTTGTATTTATACCACAGTATTCAATGCAATCTACATTATCTTGTATTGTCATAGTATGCTGGTATTGAAAAGTTGTGAATTATAAATAGAAATACATATACCCAACTTGTTCATGAAATCAGTAAAGCATTGATAATCATTTGACACACAAACTAATTAAGCTGTGATTGTGGACAAAGTTCTGGATAAACGAACTGTGATTTTAACTCGGTGGTTGAAGTAGTAGCAGACAATCACATCCCAGGGTATATTGTATATTATAAAAGTAATACTGATCTGTGATATAGACACATTTTGGGACAAACTTCATTTATTAACAGGAGCAAAACTTTCTACAAAATTTATCAATATTTATCCATTGAAAAATGTGAATGATTTTATCACTCTATAAAACATTATAAGCAATTATAAGCAATTAAGCATACTGTATAACCAAAAGTGTATGAAGTATATCATAAGCTTTTTTAGTGCTCTAGATATCCATAACAACATTGCCAGCTTTAATTTAATAAATAATGAAACGGTTCATGTTATTCAACAATAGGAAGCCTTACATTCTTATCTTTACATTTGAATAATTATTGTGGAGGAAATAGGTTGAAATTAAAGCCACTTTCTTTAAGTGAAGCGTGGTTATAATTAAGCTCACTCTTTACGTAGAAAATTACTTTTATAAATGAGAGTAATTACTTTAAAGAGTGTCTAATCTTGTAAAGGATGCTTATAAGTAGTTGCTTTTCTTCCAGTGCTACAGAAATTTTATTATCCAAGGGAATCAATCTTGCGGCCTATAACTCTGTTTAAATATTTGGATGAGGTGACCTTTTTTAATATGACATCTTTCTACAGTTTACTTTTTACACATATTATAGTCCATGTTTACTGAATAAAATGTAACCATGAATGTTTGAAATGATTTCTGTCTCAACATCTATGCATGTCCTGCAAGAATGATATTTTTAACTTGTTAATGTAGATAAACAACGACTTGCTTGTAGTAATCCCTTTCTGTGTTTGAATAATCTAAGTATATATTTTGTATGGTCACAAATTTTTATAAATAAGCAATTGCTTTCAAGAATATGTGTAATGTATAGCCTTTTTTATTCTTCAATGGTGAAATAATTTAATCTCCAAAGACAACAGGTACTTTTTTGTAAAATGTACCAGGCAACTTTATTTTTGCCCATTACAGTTTCTATTAAATGTTAGCTTTGGTGCACAATTTTCTCTATATTTTATTCTTATTGTAATTAAATTATACTCATTTAAGTGCCAAACTGGGATACAGAGAAAATCCGATGTTGAATTTTCATGTCACCATTTTGAATAAGGCAACCATAAAAATATTTCCTTTGCTTTGTTTTACCTCTTGGAGTTTAGTTTAAATAGAATTATGTTTACATTTACTTAAAATAGGGTTATTTTTATGTGCTAATTACACCAGAAATTATAAGCATTAGGAAAAGTCAACAGTTCTACGTTTAGTATTGTTATTGCTGAATAAAATATAATTGTGCAAAGGCATTTGTATGCAGGGTAAATTTATGTGAATGTTCTGAGCATGAATGACCTGCACATGTGTTTACAGTACACCATTTTGAAGGACTATAACCATGTCGGAAGAGTGTCAAATACAAGTAGATGATTAAATTCTGCAAGTGTTACAATTATATAACTGCAAATTTCCAATTTTTACTTACTTGTTTTAATAGTACATGTATTACTCTATAGCATTGTTTATAATCATTATGAGGTCTTGTCTGTGTATAGACCCTGTAAAACACTCAGTGGTTTGTGTAAAGCAGTATCGCTTAGGGTTAATTTTTTTTTTTCTTGCTCATGAAAACCAGGGCTTTGTTCTCCCTTGCAAAACTTGTTAATTAAACCACCATTCTGCTATAAATTGTGTATATATTATATAATTATAAAGAAGAAAGAGATAATTTCAAATACGTGTATATTATTATAGTAAATAAAAAGAAATGTATTTTGTAGGAATCAAGCCAGTCATGTATGTCATGTTCCATGAAATAATTTTTGATTATTTATTTCACTCATTATCTTTTCATTCACTTAGGAAACTTGGATTGTATAGGCTCATCGTTGCAATTTTGCTTGATTTGTTTATTTTACTTTTCAATGAGGATGGTTGTTTTTCTTTTTTTGTTTGTGTTTATATACCATCACTTGTTGCCTCATTATATGTGTGGGTAAATTAATCATTGGTTCATATTCACCTATTGGTTACTAGTCCATGATGTTGCTGCTTCTGTTATGTTAAATTAGTTAAGGGAAGTTCTGCAGAAAATTGATTAAGGATATTGACCTTAAAGATCTTGTGTAAAAATGTGTATTCATAATTATATATATATGCATAGATATATATATAGATCTATATTATTAAAACATATCAATGGCACATATCGTTTTATCTTGTAATCATTATTTATTATTTTTAGCTCTACTGGTCAGAGACGTGGTGCCCGTTTTACAAAAGAACTTATGACTAAGACCAAAACACATCAGTTCATTGTAAAATTTTGCAAAATTAATGATTCTGTTTAAAATTGCTAGCGTAAAAATATCTTTCTATGTTCCTTTTGAAGAGATTAAAACCTTTTCAATTTAGTGCAAATTACAACGTTATGACTAGAATTAAATTTGGTCTTAGTCGTAAGTTCTTTTGTAAAAAGTGCCCCAGAAGAGCTTATGCGATAGTAAGGCGTCCGTTGCCTATCTTTCTGTCTGTAAACAATTTTTCAAAACGCTACTCCTACAGTTTTAATCTTATTTCAAAATAACTTGGCACACAAGTAGACTTTTTTGGATTTTGATGAACAGTGTTGCCATGGTTACTAAACATAGAAATTTATGTGAAATACTTTCAAAATGCTACTCCTCCTACAGTTTTGGTTTGATTTCAATATAACTTGGCACACAAGTAGATTACAATGAGGCACATAATTCTATTTATTGGTTTTTGATGAATGATGTTGCAATGGTTACTAAAATCAAAATTTCTGGAAAATTCTTTTAAATGGCTACTCCTCCTACAGTTTAAGTCCGATTGCAATAAGCTTAAAAAGAGACTTGACCAAGGATCATTATTCTATTTACAGTAAAACACGCTTATAACGAAGTGCCAAGAACTGCAATTTTGCTTCATTATAAGCGTAATTTGTTACATATGTAAAGTTAACAATAAATTTCAAAGCCATGGGGAATGGAAATCGCTTCACTTTAAGCATTTATTTGTTATAAGTGTGTTCGCAATGAGCATGTTTTACTGTATTGCTGTTGCAAAGTTAAAGTCCTAGCGCTACTTTTCTCCTTATTTGTTGTAAGTACAAACCATTAGAGCTACAGTCTCATCAGAGACTTCTGGTTTATTTTACCAAAAGTGAAGTGGTGTTTTTCTTGTACACTAGAAGCTAGGGGAATGGGTTTTTTTTAATGTTATTGAAACTCTCATTTGGATGGATAGAGAATACAAAACTGGTCATAAAAAGGAAAATTATGAATGAAGAACTGAACTGTAAAATATTACATAAATGAATATTTAGTGCACTTTGATAAAGCAAGCAAAGCATACTTCACCTTATGCACAGCTGAAAGCTCTAGTGAGCTTTTCTGATCACCTGTTGTCTAGCTTCCATCTGTGTCAGTGTGTCTGTCTGTCCGTCCATTTATAAACTTTTCACAAAACCAAAGTTGACACAAAGCCATATAGAAATCTATCCTGGAGAACAGCATTATAATGGACGACAAAATGTACCGTGAACATCTGCATATTTTGTCGTCGATATATTGTGCTGAAGAATATTTACTAAGGTCGTGAAAAAAGAGAGAGATTGATACAAACATATATACAGACAGAAGAGAAAAAGTGTATGGCAGAAAAATAAGTGAGCTTTTCTCTGATCACATTTAGTCTGTCGTCCGTCTGTAAACTTTTAACATTTTTAGCTTGTTCTCAAGAAATACTGCATATTATGGGCCAATTTTAACCAAACTTGCCACAAAGCATCCATGGATAAAGGGGATTCAAGTTTGTTCAAAAAGAGTTATGTCCTCTTTTAAGGGAGGTACAGTAATTAAAAATTGGTGAAAATTTAGTGACACCTTTTAAATATCTTGTAAAGAACCGTTGTGTCAGAAAAGTTGAAACTTTTGTGAAAGCTTCATTATGAAGTGTAGATTCAGTTTTATTCAGATCAAGTCCCTCGGGGGAAGGGTGGGGTTACAATTGCTGATCAAAGTTTTTCGTAGAATACATAGGAAATATTCTTTCAAAACCTTTTTTCTCAAGGACTACTGGATCAAAAGAGATGATTTATGTGAAAGCTCGTTACATAGTGGAAGTTCAGTTTCGTAGGTGCTGGCATGAAAACGATTACTCAATGCCCATTATAGGTCTAAATTTGCTGTCCTCCACTGGCAAGTGTTGGCGTCTCAAGAGTGAAAAATTCTTGAGAGGGGGACAAACAAAAACAAAATCAATTTTGTTCAAGTCATGACCACTGGGGTAGAGTTGGGCCATAATGGTTGATCAAAGTTTTACATATGAATATTTACAGAGAATCTTTTCAGATCTTCTCAAAAACTCAAAGGCGGATTTAACACCGGCGCACCACCCCATCCACCCACCTTTCAGTTTTGTAAGTTTTGCTTGTTTAACTTGTATTACTCTCAATTAAGTCCACAGCTAAAATTTCATAATTAAATAATTTACTTACGCCTTCACACACAATTTATGACTTTTTTTTTTTTGCTTGTCAAAAGAAAAATCTGAACCGCAACCCCAGTGAGGGTAGGTACAAATTGTTGCCGGCGACAATATGTCGACGCTTTAGAATTGTAAGGTCTAGATTGGCTTTCCTGTCTGATATGAGCGATATACAGTCTTTTTCGTACGATAGAGACAGGCAATGCCAGTCTATTGTAAGGTCGTAAGTGCCACTTACGACCTTATTATAATTTTTAGATCTTCAATATGTGAACAGTAAAATACATCCTCTATAAAAAGTTCGTGGTTATATTCCGTAAAATTACCATGGTAACACACAAATTATTATTTTGTCGTTTCTACAACCCGTAGATATGAAAGGTTGTAAGTGGCACACACAGGTGCTTGTGGACAGGAACCAACCAACCAACCAACCCCCCCCCCCCCCACCCCCACCCACCCGAATATAACCCTAGCTCCAAGGATATTTTCATTCGTCTTTTTTCCTTAAAAAAAAAAGATACGGTTTCAAAACAAATCTTGCCCTGTGTTTTTTGTTAAAAATAAAAGTGATGTAAAAAAAAAAATTAAAAACTCATGCTTTCTGAATCATTGAAATTCATACAAATCATTTTTCTCACATGACCTTCTAAATGCTAATTGTGACGTCATAAACTTGTGCATTTTCCCGTATTTTCCTAAAAAGTTGCAAAAGACACCAATTTTCAATGGAATTTTCTTTCAGATAATATTGTCCACAGGCATCGCCCACAAAGATTTTGAGATATGTTATTTTTCAAAGAATTTTAGACAACATATCCGAAAATTAAAGTGGGCGACGGCTGTGGACACTATTTTCGAAGGGAAAATAACCCTTGAAATGGGTCATTTTGAGTTTTTTTTTTGTTTAAAATAGAGAAAAGTATCAAATTAATGACGTCATATTTCTAGAATGGTACTCCTTCATGCCATATTCTTTCTTGATTCATCATTGTCATATACTCAACTAATATTTAAGCCAGTTTCATAACTTTTTGATAACATTAAATTTTTAGGGCACAAAAAGCTAAAACCGTACCTTCTTAATCTCCTAGTTGACATTTACAATGTATTCCATATGAAAAATCCCCAAAATTACGTAGAATTAACGTTTTATTAAAAAAAAAAAACAAAAAAAACGCGATATTAGGTATACCTTTCATTAAAACTTCCGGTATTGTTTGTAAACATTATTTGCTGATGGTTGTATGCATAAACTAAAGAAGAAATGAACAAATAGTTTTTTTTTATATGAAATATGTACTAATCAAAAATAACCATTTCAAAAGGAATTAATATTAAATTATTTCTGTCGGCCTCAATGTAGCCTCAATGTGGAATTTTTACTTTAAATGTATTATGTTTGCATGCATGTAAGATTCTTGACAGAAATTGTGTGTAGTGCATTTATGAATGTGCTAAATATAAATGTACAACAAAGACATTTAACAATGTACTTTATTTGGCAAAAGCTCCAGTTTGCCAAAATCGCTAAATAAAACAAACAGCCAAATATAATACATTTACAGTATTAAAAAAAAAAAAAATTATCATATTCAAAGTAAATTGATATGCAATATTAACAGCCTTTTTTGCTGACATTTCTTTGCGATATCTGCACCCAAATAAAAGAAAAAGTAAAGATTATAAGAGACTTCAACTAACAAATAAACTACGATGTTCTCTAAAGTGATGACTCTATGGTACCTAGTTATAACCTGTGAATATGTCACTTGCTGAACGGTTAAGTCTGTATTAATTTTTAAAAATAGTCAATATAACTGTGATGGCGAGAGACTAATTTCTTAACCCGAAAGAAAAAAAATATATCAGCCAGCTAAAAATTGTAAAAACGATAATAGTATGATAATCGTTAAATTTTCAAAGAAAAAATACAGTGAAAAAAAAATCCCCATTAAAAGAAAAACACCTTTAAATAAAGAAAGAAAAACTACAATATGAAATATCATTATTTGAACTCAAGTTTCAGAAATAAAAGAATCAGTGGATGATAACATAGGAAAATAAAAAAAAAAAATACAAATGATATAACACAAGCAAAAGAAAAATTCAGAGTTATGAAATTTCGATCAAATTTGCTATTCAAAATGAACTGGAACATGTGGTGGCTCTTCAGTTGAAGACATACAATTTGAAGATGTCTGGGATGAAGTTTATTCAAAGGTAGAACTCGGCGGTGGGAAATACAATCACTTATGGTGTGAATTGAAATTGAAGATATCCTTTCTAATATGAATGGTGATAGACTGTTTAATCTAAATGATGATGATGATACTGTTATTTTTGAAACTAAATCGATCCCATTACATGGTTAGTACATGCAGTAACATTTTGTTAACCAGATTTGAATTATGCAAGCTCATTTCACCAAACTTTAAAACGAACAAAAAAGGAAACCTTACATACACAGTCTGGTGATACAGATCTGATGTTTTATAATCCTGACACCACAAAAAAAAAAAGGAAATTCAATCTAGTAAAATAACATACAGAGGAAAGCAGCCAAATTGCAACAATTTTTTTTTTTTTTTTTTTTTTTGGTAGTAAAGTCACCTCATTGCAGGAAAGATAGATTAAATTGTTTCTAGAAGAACAAAATCATCAGGAATTTGTACAATCTATATAAGGAGAAATATGATTCAAAGTTAACTTTGAGCTGTATGTCAATTTATTACATTCTCAACAGTGAAATACTGTGATTTATTTATTGAATAAAAGTGATATTCTCTCACAGTGTGAAAGGATACGAAAAATGATATTCTCTCACAGTGTGAAAGGATAACAAATTAAGTAAGTATAAAATAATTCGGTCTGTCATAAGATAGAGATAGTAACTAAACATCTTGATAGAGCTAAAACTGCAAATTTCTTCCCAAATATGTTGCTAAAATCCATGCTATGTAATGTTTTCAATCACACAACTTCTACGCTATGACGTCTCAACCGCTCAACTATGACGTCAAGCCTATGACACTGTGTTAAGAAAAGACAGAGGCAAAGGGAAAATCAAAGAAAATGTAATAAACAGAAAATTCAATTTTTTGTAGATGAATATGGAATTTATTTCACTCGTGAGAGAGGATTTTTTGATATTTTCACTCGTGCTTCGCACTCGTGAAAATATCAAAAAATCTTGTCCCACTCGTGAAATAAATTCCATATTCATCTACAAAACATTGAATATCCTCTATATATTCTCTCTATATATAAACCATCTTTGATTTTGATCGTCCAAAAAGCAGGACTGCATAGTCTGACGCATTTATAAATTGTCCGACTTTATCTGAACTGGCCTCAAATAGCAAGTATTTAAATTAATTTTTTTTTATTAATAAAATAATACAGTACAACATAGTTGATGAAATCTGGCATACTGATAAAATATTGCATATTGATACTAATAAAATGGCACTCATTAGCACAGCTTAAAAATATAAGTTAATAAGATAATGCAAAACATGGGTAATCAGAGAGTAGCCCATCTCAACGAATGTTTTCCTAAAATAAGGCAAAGTCTCGCACTAAACTAATAATATAGTAGTGTGCGTCCCTAGATTAACATTTATGCAATTTAAGTTCAATTTTGATAGGGCTTGCAGTTACTTGGGAATGGACTTGTCTAAAAACTTAAAACTAGTCATTCGTCCAGAAAATGTAAGTCATATCCAGCATCTGAAGCAAGTTTGAGTGTATTTATCCCCTGAGGCATCATCCATGCAAGTTTGGTTCAGATACTAGCCTTAAAGTTTCTAGGTAATGGACTTGCTCCAAAAAATTTGACCTGGTCACACATCTGGAAAATGTATATAGGTCAAATCCAGCATCTGAAGCATCTCTGGTAGTGTGCATCCCCTGATGCATCATCCCTGCAAGTTTGGTTCAGGTAGACCTTATAGTTTCTTGGTCATGGACTTGCTCCAAAAACTGTTACCTGGTCACTCATCTGGAAAATGTAGGCCAAATCCAGCATCTGAAGCATCTCTGGTAGTGTGCATCCCCTTATGCATCATCCCTGCAAGTTTGGTTCAGGTAGGCCTTATAGTTGGTTAGCATGGGGCTTATAGTCACTTTATAAAGAAACTGCTCCAACAACTTTAACCTGGTTGCTCATCTGGAAAATGTAAAATTCAGCATTCGAAGCAAGTCCAGTAGTGTGCATCCTTAGATGAATCATCCATGCAAGTTTGGCCCAGGTAGGACAATTAGTTACTTTAAAATGAACCTACTCCAAAAACGTTAACCTGGTCACTCATCCGGAAAATATTGGTCAGATCCAGCATCCGGAGCAAGTCCAGCAGTGTGCATCCTTAGATGCATCCATGCAAGTTTGGTCACCATAGGCTCATAGTGACTTTAAAATGAATCTGTTTTAAAAAAACTTTAACCTTGACACTCATCCAAAAAATATTGGTCAGATCCAGCATTCGAAGCAAGCCTGGTAATACGCATCCATGCAAGTCTAGTCAACCTAGGGCTTATAGTTACTTAAGAATGAGACCTGCTCCTAAAACTTAAACCTGCTCCAAAAACTTTATCCTGATCATTCCTTAGCTGAAATTGCAGCATCTGAAACATGAAACATACTGGCAGCATCCTTCATGCATTTCTGATTAATATAGGGCATAGAAGTACTTGACTGCTCCAAAAATTTTAAACTGGGACGCCAATGCCAAGGGTATTACACAAGCCCCCCAAACCTTCGTTGAGTTAAGCTAAAAATATTGATTCTTACTTTTTGACAGATACTAAATGACACCCTAGAAGTGCATTTACTAGTATTAGCTTCACCCACTGCAATTTGATTGTACGGCAGTCAGTCAAATACCTAGTACCCGTTGTCATGTACTTGTTTTATTTTTGTTTTTCAGGAAGACAGAAAATGGACGAAAATGAATCATAAAATTGCGGAAAGTACTTTGGTACAATAGTAACTACGTGTATTTATCATTTTGCGGAAACTTGTGTAGCAGACCAGTAGAACGCCGGGGAGGGGGCAGTCGCACCCCCTTTTCTGAATATAGAATTTTGCTATAGTAAATTTTCCTTTAGATGCTGGTTGCCCCCCCCCCCTTTTTTGTTGCTGTAAGGTAGATCACTGGCAAATTCCAGGATTTAGGCACTTAATTTTTTTAAATACGCTACTCTCTAAGGCCAAGATCATGAGGTCAAAATGCTGGTATGCAATGAAAGGTCTTGTCACACGTAAAACACATGTGGAGTATGAAAACACTAGCACCAACAGTTCAGAAGTTTTAGCCAAGGTAAAAAAAAAACAACATCAAAAGTAAGTCAAACTCCAATTAAGGTCAAAGTCAAAAGGTAAAAAAATGTTGGTACCCAAAGGAAGGTCTTGTCACATGTAAAAACGCAAGTGAAATATGAAAGCCCAAGCGCCAACTTTTCTAAAGTTAAAACCAATTAAGGTTGAAGTTTTTGCAGAAGTAGGTCATATTCCAAGGTCAAAAATGTTGGTATTGAAGGGAAGGTCTTGTCACAAAGAATATACAAGACATGTGAAACATAGTTAATATTATATACGGAAGTTATAATTTCAGGACACGTGAATAAAAGAACCTTTATGTATTTTCTAATTGAAAATTGATCAACAATTATATTTTAGGATAAAAAGTATCATGGCATTCAAAAAAAAAAAAAATGCATGTTCATACTTCTGCATTTTAGTTATTTCATTAACCTCAATTGTTACATAATACAAAGTGTAAAAGCATGTTGTATCATTGCAAGATATCGTAGATCACTTTCAATTCAGTTCATGCTATTAACGATTGGTAACAATTGAAGGAAATTTGATATCTCTTGAAATGTTAGCCATCTGGTACATTTATGTGGTGCAAATGTTTACTTTATACAAGACCGTTTCTACAACTTCAAAGAAACTTAATCATATTAAGCGGGAAAAATGAAAATTTATGCACGAAAAAAAAGTTCAATTTTAAGTTTCATTTTTAGACTTATTCAATTAAATAATGATTTTGGGAGTTACACTGTTCCCACAGGCACTGGAAGTTAATGTAAATATATAGTATGTGCATGTATAAATACTTGAAGAATTACTTTTTTAGCAAAATAAAAAATCATTAAAAAAAATCATTCATTACCATGTAACCGAATGTATTTGTGTATCGAAACAGCGGAAAAATGACTACGTAAATACTGTTTTTATTTAGTATTATTTTACAACATATGAAAAGATCCGGATGTCCCTCATGAAGCACTATCAGTGTTTGAGGAGGGGATCTAATGCTTGATTTCAGTTATTGATTCACCATTGACACCAAACATGTTAATTGGCATAAAACCATGCTACAATTTATGAAAATGAGAAAAACTAGGCTTAGGGAGTTAACATAAACATATAATATAAACATGTGAAATATATATCAATATATTGTTTCCAATCTAATTAAATCTAAAATCATTATTCGGACCCCCCCCCTTCCCCCTTTCCTTCCATGTTTTTCAGCATGTCATGTGAACAGAGACATTGCGTTTCCTATGTGTTTCTTTTATTTTTCTTTGAAATTTACTATGGGGTAAGAATTCAACATGATAATTATTTTCAGATAATATTCACCACGGGATCCGCCCCATTGATATTATGGCTATCAAGAACGACAACCTTGTGTTACTCAGTTGCCATAAAAGGAGGACACGAAATACTCAGAGGTTCTCCTCGGGGTAGGAATTCCGAACACAGTTTTCTTCAAAACATCAGTTGATGAATTCAAGTCGAGATATATTATTGATATTATCTGTTCTATTCGCCGTCAGATTTTTATAGATATCCATGATATCTGATAGTGAGAATAAAAATCATAGGGGATTACTTATCGATTAGAGAATTTCCAAACCATCTCTGTGGTATCAGTAGCACAATCATCATATATTTCACTTTAAAATTTATAAAAAAAAAAAAAAAAGCAACCTATGAAGTCGATATGTAAATGAAAGGGGTTCTTATTTGTGGTTATGCTACCTAATGTGCACATTCCCCCTGAGAGGACCTCCAATAAAGTTACGTCATAGAAGACCTCCCCTCTCCCGCCAAAGCACAAAGCATAACCCCTCTGAATGATATCCTTCTTTTAATTAAATATAAGTACATGTTCATTTATATTTGAATTACATACACAATTTTACGTTTGTAGCCCATAAATCAGCAACATTAAAAGAACTCTAGTGTAACGTGTTTTTCACATTGCGGTTGCCATGTTGGATGTATGCGGCCCATGTGACTAGTGGCGATAGATCAACCTGCATAGTGCAAGTTTGTACCTCATTTCGTTACTTAGGCACGCAGTTTTGTAACTTTCTTGGCTTAAAAGTGGATAAGATACATCGAAAGGTCTTCAAGACGGATTCTTTAGTAGTCTTAGATAGTGGATGGTATCCATAGCCAAAGTAAGTACATGTGGATGTCAGTGTTGCGACAGCATGTTTTTCGTGACACGGTAGACGCCATGTTACATTCTGTTTCATGCATTTCATCACGTGTTGAACATCAAATATTAACATTAAACCCAAACATGTTTATGACAGTATTGCTGATATGTGTAGAGCAATACCAGACACACATTGTTTGGGGGCGAAAATGTGCAATACTTCTTAATATGTCAGAAAACGCGTCATGACCCGCCTTTGAACTTGTGTTGGTAGATCCTTTGAGTTTTGAAGCTCAACCAAGTGTTTAGTATGATGTATACATATTCTTCAATATACAGTTAATGTATTGATGTAAATGATATCGAGTATGCATATGAATGTTATTCTGTCATGTGCAAAATATGCAAAACAATACTGTGGGTAGAAATCTGACGGAAATGTCGGCCATTTTCCAATATGGCGGCCTCCATGAGAAATGACAGTGTGCTACCAAAAAATGTCGATGACATGGCATAAAAATTGTCAAAATGCGAAAAAGGAAGTATTTCAAATAGAAAAGACAATGCATAAGATTAAAGTTTACAGAAATTAAATGTTAACAGCTACTAGTGAAGAAGATCGAACTGTCAACAACTGTACAGATATATTTGCTTTCAGCAAAGTAGAGTTTTGTTTGAGGACATTGGTGTGCATAGATAATTAGGATTGTCTATCGTGAAGGGAAAAAAGTATCATCCTGCATCACAATATTTCAGTAAAATATCATAATATATTTTGATATATCAAGTATTTATAATCACATTATCAAGGTACAAGTTTAAAAGTTTATGAACAACATTTAATTTCACTTATGATATTTATCATTAATGGGTGACAAAGTAAACATACAATTGAAAGCAAATGCCTTTTCTTGACTTGATTTATTTATTTGTGTCTTCATTTTTATAAAAGAGAGCTTATTAAAATTTCAAAAACATTCAAACTTCTGTAAATAAAAATACCGAGATACAGTAGGACCTGTGATATAATGAGAATGGAGTATACATTGACTGGCATCTCCACAATTATTTTTTGATGTTTAAGAAAGGAAAATGTAGATTTCAGCTTTTTTTTAACAACAGATTTGATTGTATTAGTCATTATATTTTCTAGCTCAAACCAAGGTTAAAGCAGAGTAAAGATTAAACTTGTTTCTTTAATTTTTAAACTTAAAAAAAAAAAATCACTTTCATTTTGGATATTTAAGAGGTCCACCATTGTTTATTCTAAAACTCAAACAATAAGACCAAAATATTTACTTTGCTGTGTTTTTTATTAAACCAACTACAAGATTGATTTGAATCGCACTTTCTTGTATACTTGCACATAGAAATATACACTGAGAAACTCAATGAAGTGACGTCGCATTGATGTGGGCAGCAAGAAATTCAAACATTAAGTGTATTTTTGCTGCTTTTAAACGTGAAATACTATCTTCTTTGTATTTTAATTCCCAAGAAGAAGTGTGTTCTGAATGTCTTTTATGTCATTGTTTGGTTTTTGATTGCTTGTATGTGATGCTAAGCATCAGTAATATTGAAATAAAGGAGTCTTTGTTACTATGACATTAAAATTTCCCTGTTAGTTTCTGATCAAAAAAGAAGTTTTCAAATCCTGTTAAGTGTTGTGCAGTTCCAATAGTTATATAGCTACACCATGACAAGATTTATCTGATAAGTTATAGCTGAGGATGGTGGAAGTGGCCTCGAAAAAAAGAGAAATTTGAAAAATGATTGAAAGTATTTCTACAACACACTAGAAAAAAAAGCAGTTGACTTTTTTTAATGCTTCATTTGCATTAAGTACACTTTCACACATTGCTGCGATTAACCTTTTTAGGGAATTTTGTGTGTAACTAATAATGGCAGCTGTGCCTGAATTATAAGGTTATGATACATTTATTCATTACCATTTACATTTAAGCTTGTTCTCCACTGCTGTTTTTTTTTTTGTTTGTTTGCTTGAATTCATTCCTTTTTGTAAACTGACATGTATTTCATCTTTGAAATAATATGCACTGGAATATTTATATGTCAGTTTTGTGTTGTGCATATACTGGGGGTACTTGCTCATCTAACTAAATGTTATAAATCTTAAATGCATTATTACCTTGGTACAAATGAAAATAACAAAAGGACTAATGATACTTTCTGTTTCAGGTGGAACTGAAGGCTAACTTAGAGGAAAACTCAGCTGCCCTAATGACTTCAGATCGGGGACACGATAGGGGCGCTGAGTTACCACTCACTTCCCCGGTAAGTCAACAGAACCTATCATGACACAGATTTCAACAGTAACAGAACCAATCATGATACAGATCAAAACCGTGACAAAAACTAATCATGACACAGATTTCAACAGTAGTGTTAAGCTTTTGGAACTGTAATTCAAAATTTTAATGCGATCAAAGATGTGTTTTGTCACAATTTAGATAATCTTTGTTTTTGAGTTGGATGAATAGGTCCTACTTTTTTCTGCAGTTTCAAGGCTCAAAATTCATAAAATGCCTTACATCAATCTTTTGATGACAATTTAGCAAAAAAAAAAAAAAAAAAAAAAATGAAGCTTAAAGTTACAAAGAAAAAATAGTTCGTAAGTTTAAATAAAATTGTATATTTCAGGGATATATGTCTATATTTTTTGGTGTATATGAAGTGATAATCAACATGTATGAGATGATGATTCACATTAGGGGTGAATTGTTACATGCTGCAGGTTATCATTCTCTTACACACCAAAAAAAAAAACCAAAACATTGCTTATAATTACAGTTTTACTTCAACATTACTATACCCTACCTCTGGATAACATTTCTTGTTGTATAGGTTTTGTTTTGAACATATTTCATTGACAATATGTCAAAGGGATTGGATACAAGTTCTAAAAACTTAGACAGTCCTCTCCCATAGTATAGGTATATATGCTTACATTACAGAAACTTATTGTCCCCTTCTTATTAAAGCCTCAATCTCTCTTCCTAATCAAAAATACAATGTGTTCATATGACATTATATTACTAAACGTGGATACAAAAAGTTGAGAGGTCAGTGTTTTGTCATTATGCAAGTATAACCCAAAGTTTTACTGAAATGTTAAAGCTTTGTCATGTTCACCCCCCCCCCCCCCCCCCAAAAAAAAAAAAAAACAAACAAACAAAAAACACCAGTCATTGTGAATCTGTTGTGTGGCTGACCCCAATGAAATATATTATTGGTGTGCTTTATTTTGGGAAGAAGATTGCCTGTTGGAGGCATGGATTTACTTTTAAAGCAGAATTCTAGCTTAAAAATGGAATTAAGGCATATAAAAGTAATAAGACTTGTAACTGTATGTTGCAATGGTCATTCAAGCATTGAATGTTATTTTGTCTGTTGCTATAGCTCACACAGTCCTGCATAAAATTGAATGACACACTTTGGCATATCCTGAAATTTGCATTCTCACTTTTGTGATTTATAACACTGCAAATAATAACCATTTATCATTTAATGCATACATTTCCTTTAAAAAAAAAAAAGAGTTAAAGTTTGAAATAGTTTGAAAATCATTGTTGTATTTTCTATTATTTGATTTGTGATTTGTGTATTTTGCTATATTAAATACTTAGAGAGAAATGTTTACTATATATGACTCTCTTGTCAACAGGAAAGAAAAAAATGTCTTGTACATGCATATATTCAGCTGAGACAGGGTTTTTACAGAAGAATATGGTGTAGGATTACTATTTTTATTTCCTTCACACTTCCTGCTCTTTTTATATTATATGGGAAGTGGGGCTTATTGTTAATATTTCATGAAGATCTTTTTTCTAACACCATCAAAGACCCTGTAGTGAACAGTGCATTTTAAAAACTTCCAAGTTCAAGGGTGTATTTTCATCCAATCATTTCTAGATTTATCTTTTTATCACTTTTTTTATGCTTTTGTGATAGGACTACTCTATGTATAAAATATAGCCAACCTATATAGATGACAAAAAACATGTTTTCATATAGGGAGGCAACATTGAATGTGATTTAACTAAAATAAAACATCCCATCTCAGAAGAAATATATATTTTGCCATAAGATTTATTTTTATTTTATCCTTATTTTATAGTTTATGGTGGGGCAAGTAAAAATTAGGTAGGGCAGGTGAATTTTGACTATGAATAAGTGCTTGAAAAATCTGTCAGCCCCTGTAAAAAACCAAAATGAAAATGTATTTCTCTGAAAATACTCTACAGATTATAACAAGAAAATATAATTTCCTTAATTCTTTCATTGTTGTCCTCTGTCAAGTACTTCATATTCATCATAATGAATAAATTAATCATTAAATCAAAAAAATTTTTGCACCCCAAAAATGTGTTGTTTTGAATAGGCAACAGTTGAAAACTTCGGACAGTAAATATCGTACATAACATTCTTGTTGCTATCGTATTTTAGCCATAACCTTGATTCTTGTCGTTCAGTCTTGCACAAATACTGGGAGTCCAGTTCCTGGGGACGGGTAAAGTTGGAAGCAGGCATGTGGATCTTGCATACTCACAAGCCTGAAGGCATTTAAATTTGGAGGCATAAACCTCCATATTAATGAGTACAATGTTTTCACTTTTGATTCAAATGATTAAAAGAGATTTCATTTTTTCATCTAACATGTTCAAAGTAAAGCATTTTAGCAACAGGTTAATCTTGCCAGTTTTATATATTGACCACTGTTGATGTTGTTCTGATCATCAGCTTTTGATCATTTATGCCTCATGATTGCTAAAACTTTCTCCATTTCTCCACAACCCAATTTGTCACTTTAAATCAAATGCGTAAAACTCTTGGTAAGACTTGTAATGAATAAAAAATTAAACTGGTTTGCACCCAAAGTTTGAAAAGCAAAGAAAGATAACTCTTGCAGAAAAATAGTTTTGATTTCATGTCAATTGCCCACTGACAAGTGCTTTTGACACTTGCCTGCCTCTAAAATTCACTAGTCCTAGGCGTCGGGCAGTGGGATTTGTCAGCCCGCTTATTAGTTATTATTAGGAGTTCAGTATCTGCAAGGTTTCTGGAAAGGTATATTTATGGATAGAATAGCTTCAAACAAATTCAAATCATAGATTGGGCAGAAAACAACACCAATCCTAATCCTGTTTGGTCAAAGATGAAGGACTATGACCAGTTTGTGGAAATTGTTGCCATGCAGTGAATTATCAATGGTGTGCAGACCAGTTGAAAGGAATATGAAAAGTCTTCACTTCATCTTTTTTAATCCCGTGTATAAAATAAATGAAAGTGGAATCTGCATTTTTCTTTATTAAATAAGAGACAAATCTAGTATGAGGGAAGGTAGACGAGGGATCAGGACTTTAACCCTTCTGATTTTCACTGTAGCTTGGTTAAAATTCTTGCAAAATTTCCAGAGGTTAGATATAATTTTGTTCTACCGAAATAGCTCTTAAGTAATCTGTTGATTTGTTATTTATATATTAATTTGAAGGTGATTTTTACTTACAATTGAAGAAAGTAAATTTATTACTGTGATTTTTTATGTTTGTGTACAGCAATTTCAGTGCATTATTATGTTAAGCAGGATTGAGGCGATTTATCAGTTGTCCCTCTTTGAGCAGTAGAAATGGCAGCCCTGTTATTGATTGACAGCTGTGCTTTTATTTGTTTATAGCCACCTTGCTTTTTATCCATTCAAAGTGGATGGGGCTTTACGACAGAAGCTAGCAGAATTATCTCTGTTGGAGGGATTGTGTTTCTTCACTACAGATTAAGGATAGGCTTCAATTGCAGCAATTTGATCTTAATATACAGATTACATAATACATGTCAATTGACAAGTAAAGTTAACAGTATGAGAACTGAATCAAAATAGCTGTACGCAGTGGTTAGGAATTCTTTCATGTTTGTACTGAAGACAAAGTATTGTAACACCCAATACTCTAATGCATTGAGGTATCCTGATTCCTGATACAGGTTCTGGGATGGGAGACTTGAAGTGCAGCATTATTGATCAGATAAGAGAGAAAATGCAGATGTGACTGATATCATGAAAAAATGAAGAGATATTTATTTTAAACTGATAAACCATTATCTTTTTTGTGAACAGAAAATGACCATGGATAACAGCTGATTATGCTGTCATTAACCTGCATGGTATAGCCTAGTACAACCATTTTAATTATATATATTTAATATGTAGATGCTAATGCAGGCTGTGCAACTTAGTCTCAACAAGTTTGCTACTTGTACCATATGGTGTAACACAAAGCCATTCATTTGTATAAATAATGCACTACATTATTTTAAAAAAAGAAAAGAAATGTTTTGACTTCTGGTGATGCGTTTCATGCTTCATATAAATTCCCTAAATTGACAGTTTCAGCTTATTGTAACATTAATTTCAAAGATGTAACTTTATACAATTTTCAGTTTTTAGAATGAAGTGACTGACTTCAGTCAACTGAATGCATTACTGTATTACATTCTATGAACTATTCTATTTGAGTCACATATATATACTGTGATCATACAGTTTCAAATAAATCAAGACAGGTAATTATCCTGCTATATTAATAGAAAAGGGACTCTGAAGTGTTGAATTTGTCACAATAGATCATGATTCTGATTGCTGGTCACCGAGAGGTGGGTCCTCTGGGTGATTCTGATACAAGTCTATGATGGCGGCGGCAGAAGCAGTAGACGTGGGCCCTGATGTCGCAGCTACCTTGTGAGCAGGAGACGTGATGTAAATCAATAAACTCGGCCAGCATTTGTGTGGTCACAGTTGTTTTATAAGACAACCCCTCCTTAAGAACCGCAGTCGTGTTTTAAGGAGAGAGCTGGATATTAGAAAAAAAACTCCTACACACATAAACTTGAGAGCACGTTATGTGTTCTAATTAAATTTCTGTAGTGTAAAAAGAGGACTATGCAATCAATTTATATTATTTTTATATAAAATTTTCATTTTGAAGCAAAAGTAATTGATGATACTGTAAGAACATAGAATATATATTTCCTAGAAGTGAACAGAATTAGAAATTTATTATGGTGTGGCACGTACATCTAAGGCTTTTCAACCACTTCCGTATGATGAAGTATAATTTTAATGTTTGGTTAGGGAATGGCATTTTAGAAGGTTTTGAGGGGAAATGTCAAAGATGGAGCAATATGTATCCTGTAGTGAATATAATGACTGGGCAAAATAATTTGGTTTTATTTCATAATTTTCCTTTCCAGTCTTAAATGGAAATTGGCATTTATTTAATGTG